CACGAGTGCCACTTCCAAGACAGAGTAGGTGGCTTTGATGCACTGTAGCAGAAACGACCTGTGCCTTTAGTGGCTTTTCTGCACTGTAGCAGAAACGACCTGTGCCTTTAGTGGCTTTTCTGCAGATTTTAACATCATCAGAGAAAAAGTGTTCCTTTTGTCTGATTAGGTTTCTAAGCTTTGTAAACTAAACTGTTTGCTGTGTTACACTATAAATCGAGTTTTGCAAGGTATTAATTTGAATTGGTCTGTGAGGTCTAAGAAAAGTGAGCCTTTTGTCACGAGGCTTATTTCAGCTTATACTTAGCTCTGTGTCTCAACTGGAAATTCTTAGGGGTCTGCAAATGAGAAAGGTCAGCAACTGTAGTATCAGAAACACTGATAGATAGTGCATGAAAATGAGACCTAACCTCTAAAAAGAAAATTGACCTCTAAAATGAGAAATGAATCTCTATTACCCTTGAACAACACTCGGATGGCATTTCTAAATCCCTCTAATTTTGTACAATGTACTTTGTGTGCATCTCTCTAACTAGCACAGAGAGGGAGTCCTTCTAAGGTGAATTCTTTAGAAAGCACACATCATTGACTCCAGTGTAAATTTTAACAATGGCTTTGGTGTCAGCAAAGGCAGGTGAATACTAACTGCTTTTGAAGCTCTTACCTTCGGATGTGTTCTGCGGGAACGCTGCTTTGCTCTTGGTTAGTGGTTGTGGATTTTAAGCTCTCTCGTGTGCTCAGAACACAGGACAGAGGGTCAGTCCCCGTCTGCTCTTGGCCCTCCACGAGCACGGCTTGAGGACCTTGGGGAAACCATGCAACCTCTGCGTGCTTTTCTTTACTTGTGTGATAGGCAGACCTTGGTTTTGACTAGGGAGTCTGACTGGGTTGGTTTTAATAGTATTATGCAAGTGCTGCTTGATTCCTGATGTGAAGCTTTGTTGAATTCAGAAACATAGGCATGCGGGAGCCCTCCTGGCAAGCATCGCTGCTTCTTTCCAAAGACAAATGAAACTGATGTTAGCAACTTTCTTCTGCTTGCTATTGCCTGTTGTCCACTCTGCACATAGTTCGTCCTCCTAGTTCCAGCTTTTGGTAGGAGCAACTTGGAGTTGGTAGTTGAGCTGCAGACTGCTGGACGTGGCTGCACTTTGTTGCAGGTAGGCAGTTGTGCTTGTTTATGTGGGAGACTGAGCTGAGTTTTTTGAAGTTCAGGGAAGATGTGAAGAGGTGAAGGAGGGAAAGCAAAAAAGGATATGTTTCAAATCAAAGCCTTTTGATGCTGAAATTGCCTCATTCAAACTCTGTCTTCACACATCAAGGCTTAATGCTGATAGTGATTTACTTACACTTCCTAGTTAATAATTAGACATTGGGAGACACCATATATCACTCCTAATGGAATATATGGGGTCTGATGAGAGTTTGCTGTTTTGACTAATAAATTTTAACCAGAATCGCCAAGCTTAATGAAATATTACAGCTTCAGAAGTGTTTCAAGTCTTGTGCTGTGAAAACAGTGTTGCTTTATCCAGTAAATGAATTTATCGTTCATTCTGTATCCTGAGCCCTAGCTGGCTCTGGAGCATGGGCTGAATGCAAGACTCTGAACTAGAAAGCGGAAAAACTAATCAAATCCTTAAAGACCAAAGGCAGCGAGGCAGGTCTAGACTGACTTTTTCAGTGGTAGCCTCTGGCTACATCCACTTTTATTTTAGTAACCATTGTTATCATGATTTATAACTTTAGCTTTAAGACGTACACTATTTAGATGTAATAAGATGCTTCGCAGCTTTCCTTTCTATTCCCTAATTTCCCTCTTGTCCCTGCTTTTTTTTACTTCCCCCTCGTCTTTGTCTCCCTCTCCTCTCCCCAAGCAGTGTCCCCAATCTTGCAGTTGACGCTGCATTGAAAGAACATTTCACTGTCAGCCCCAAGGTCAACAAAACCGTGTCTGCCCCAACTAATGGCTGATCGGCTGGTGGCCTAGTTAGTGCAGAGGAGACGACTGTGTGCAGGGTTTAGTCTCCTACTGCTGCACAAAGCTTTTCCCTGCTAATTCTGGTGAGAGGATCCTCCGTACACAGAGGAGAGGATATGCCCCCCAGCAAATAATGGGATCCCTGCTGTCGCCCTGCTAAGTGGCACACAGTTCAACTCCTTGCCCTTCACAGCTGTCACGGGAAACGCTGCCCTGCCAAAAGGAGAGTGATGCTGTCCGGCAAGATCCTGCCTACTTCCCAGGTACAGCATTAGGAACCTGCCCCAAAAATGCATCTCATTCTGACCGGTGTGGACATAGTTTTAAGATCTCCTTAGTCTGCCCGTCCGTGGATTTGGTGAGACACCAGGAAGAGCCAAGTCCTGCTG